GTGGAGGTTCTCGGGCTTTTGGCTCTCTTCGCCCATGTTTCCCCTATCGTCCTGGGGTTGGGCGGTAGGGCACGCCGGTATGCGGGGATTAGTGGCTCTAGTGACTCGTCGGCTTTTGGTTGCCGGTTAGTAAGGAAGTTTGGAGCTGGTCTCCGGCTTTGGTCCGGGGGTAGTCTTCCTGGGTGAGGTTTTGGCCATTGGCTTGGCTCTAGTTAGGCGTAGCTTTACTGCAGTTTCTGGTTCGGAGCTTGGTCGGGTCCCTGTCCGCTTTGGGAGGTTGCCATTGGGTTAATCTTTGTTGTTGTGCGGTGTTGTTTGTTGCCTGCAGAGGCGGGCTTTAGTTTAGTATTTTCTTTTAGTTGGTTTTGTCATTCTTGTGTGCTGTTTGTTGCGTGTGCTTATTTTTTGTCCTTCTCTTCTTTTGGAGTCTTGTATTCTCCCTTTGTGAATTCTGTATTCTCCCTTGTGGGAGCTTTCGTTAGTTTCTTTTGTGTTAGTTTTTGGTCCTTGGGTAGTCTTCCTGGGTGAAGGTTTGGGCCATTGGCTTGTCTCTAGTTAGGCGTAGCTTTACTGCAGTTTCTGGTTCGGAGCTTTGGTCGGGGTCCCTGTCCGCTTTGGGAGGTTGCCATTGGGTTAAGCTTTGTCGTTGTGCGGTGTTGTTTGTTTCCTGCGGAGGCGGGCTTTAGTTTAGTATTTTTTTTTAGTTGGTTTGTCATTCTTGTGTGTTGTTTGTTGCGTGTGTTTATATTTTGTTCTATTCCTTCCTTTGGAGCCTTATATTCTCCCTTTGTGAATTCTGTATTCTCCCTTGTGGGAACTTTCTTTAGTTTCTTTTGTGTTAGTTTGTGGTATTTACTATTTAGGCTACCTTGGGTAGATCTCTCTTTTTCGGGTATTTAGTCGGATGTAATTAAGTGTTTGTGTTAATGAATCTATCATTTTGAAAAAAAAAAGAAGAACAGAAAGGAATAGTAGATAAAATTATTAATAGTGATGAAAAATTGAAAGAGATTAAATGGAAAACGGGATAATGATATGGAAGATAAAATTATATTAATGTTGTCGGCTGGGAGACCCTCTTTGGGGTTACTGTATGGCACATATGGAGAGGACGAAATGAGCAGGTGTTTACTGGTAAGAATGTCTCTATTTCCCAGAAAGTTCGGGAAGCTCGGGCTGTGGCCCTTGGCATTCGAACAACCACCAAAACCGAGAAAAATCTGCGAGGTTTAGGCGTGGAGCGTGGAATGCGTTACGTATGCTGGGAAGCTCCGGTCGAGGGCACTGTCAAAATTAACACGGATGGGTCATTTATTACCACTTCCGGGATGGCTACAGCCGGCGACTTAGTTCGGGATGAGAGGGGCCGCTAGCTTGGAGGCTTTGCAATGAATATAGGGTTTTGTTCGATTACTGGGTTGAGCTTTGGGGACTGTTCTAAGGGCTGCTTCTTGCTTGGGACTTGGGGCACCGTAAGGTTGTTGTCGAGGTGGATAATAAGAGTGTGGTGGGATTGGCCAATGGGGCCTCTTTGGAACTTGGAGCGCATGGCACCTTGGTTCGGGCTATTCGGGAATTGCTTTCCCGTGAGTGGGACGTTATAGTGACTCATTGCTTCTGTGAGTCTAACTTTGCAGCTGACTGCTTGGCGGCTCTCGGCCATCATGGTTCTAGTGGTTGTCATCGTTTCTCTGATCCACCATTAGAAGTCAAACCGTGGCTACAGCATGACCTCATTGGCGTTGCGTACGCACGGCAAATAACTGTCTAATGGTTCTAGGCTTTAGCCTCCAGTCATTGTACCACAAAAAAAATATGTTAAGGAATTATGAATTTGGATGATATGATGGAAAAAGAGAAATTTAGAATGAAATAAGTATTATTTATTTTTTTGGAAATTTTCAACCTTGGTGGCAAATAGTGTGACAACCGAGCTTGGTATTTATCATCCAAACCACAATTTGTAACAAATCATGTTCGTAGCATGCAACTTGTCACTTAACTTCAACATGTTATGGAATTTTATACACGTGAAGTTGATCTCATTCATTATAACCTCTCCAGTGCTGCTCCCGACCATATCGCTAGAGTTGTGTGGAGTGTATCTCCAGTGCATCTCCCACATTTCTGTGCAAAATGAGATATATGAACAGCCCATCGCCTAGCGATGCATTGTAGCTGCTACAACATTTTATATTTTTTAACTGATTTTCATGAATCAACAATATACGTACGAGCTTGCTTTGTCTTTATTTATTTTAATATGATTTTATAAAATTTTAAATTTTAATAAAATTTATAGAAAAATATTGATTTATTATAAAATAAATTAAATATTATAAAAGTATATTTTATTAAAGTTAAAATACACCTTATAAAAAATACTCTATAATAAACATATTACATATTTTCACTAAAAATTTATAATTGAGCAAAATGTGTAATAAATTAAGATGTGATAAATACTTGGACAAATGAGATGCTGGAAATGTTTAATGAATCTGACAGTAAGGCTATTCTTGACATCTGCTCCCTGAATCCTGATAAGGATGACAGATGGTTCTGGGCTTTTGATAAAAAAGGGCAATTTTCAGTGGCCAGTGCTTATGCCCATCTCAACTCTCAAAAAATCCTTGATCTCAACCTTCCAGGTTCTAGTATCTCTCTTCCCTCTAATAGCAAGTTCAACATGTTTAATAGATGCTGGAACTTAAAAGTTCAAGGTAAGATTAAACACTTTATTTGGAGATGTCTCTCTGGCTCTTTACCTGTAAAGATGAATCTAGTGAAAAAAGGCCTTCAACTTGATGTAACTTGTCAAACTTGTGGTCTGGAGAAAGAAACTATAGAGCATTTGCTGTTCCACTGCCCAAAAGCCAGCAGAGTTTGGGACCTTGCTCCTGTGAAATGGGATGGTCTGAACTCCTACACTTCATCATTCAAATGCTGGTGGTCTAATTTATGCTCTCTGAACCTTGGGCAAGTTGCTGAATCCAGAATCCAATTAACTACCTACTTATTGTGGTGGCTTTGGAAAACTCGTAACTTGTGGATATTTCAGAACACTTCCCTCTCAGCTCCTCAAATTGTTAAAACAGCCCAGAGACAATGGATGGAGTTTGCTCAGCTAGCTGGTTGACTTTCCTCGGTTTGCTGCTTTGTCTTAGTTTTTTCTGTTGGCCTTGTTGCTTTCTTTTGGCTTGGTTTGTTTGTTTTATTTTCACTCTCTAGGCTTTGGCAGTAGAGAGTTGTTAGTGGCAGTTGCACTTTGAGTGTCTTTCTTATTTTGAGGTTCTAGGCCGCCTGCGAGCGTGTCCTCTCATTTCTTGTATTCCGGGTTTAGTCTTGTATTTGTACTGGATTTCAGTGTTCCTTTGAGTTTATATATAAGCTTCAATCGTTTTGGAAAAAAATAAATAAATACTTGGACAAATAATATGACTATAAATAAAATAAAAAGTTTACTTTCTGCGACTTAAATTATAAATTTAAAATGTTCTTCAATCTAAATAAATATTTTAGTAAATACTTGATACATGTCTTAGTAAACTTAACGAATATTTTTTGTATTTATTTATTTTTTATTAATTTATATAATGGTAATTTAAATACTTAAATGTGCAGAGTTAAATGTATCACGTACGTCTGAAGATGAAATTTGTTTTTTGTTTAAACTCTACTCTAGAGTAGAAATAAAGGCTGGAGACAACCTTATCGAACTTACCTTCCGTTTTCAAATTTCATACTTTATGTAATGATTTTTACATGGAAAATTTTAACTTTAGTTACGTTTTTCCAAACATACTAATCAAACTTATCTAGTATTATCACCATTTACCTAGCTTAATAAAAAATTAGTAGCCAATTAAATATAATTTTCCTGGATAATACACTCGAAAAAAATAAACAATTAATTCTGTAAAAAAATAAAAAAACACCGCTGCAAATTGCCAATAAAAAAATTAAATAAATTCCACCAGCTAATCAGTAGGTCCACTACCGTACTACTTTAGCATTTTCGCAATTAACTAATCTGAATTATAGATATACAATAGAATAAGAAATACGTGGAAGACGGTGGCCGTTGACTTTGACATTTAGTTTGGCGTTTGGCCCGGTGGGCCCTCAGCCCACATTTCCAATGTTAATTAACACTGTTGACATCAAATCTCCGCAAGTTGGGCTTTTGGTACGTTATGGACAATCCTAACCCCAAAGGAGTATGTTGATTTTTATGGGAGTACACGACAATTTCCTATTGTACACACACTACCATTCCTCTGGAATATAATACGGTTCCGGAACTATGTCGTCGGTGTTTGTGATCGTTGGATCATCGTATAACTATCGAGATAATTGATTTAATGGTTACGAATCGTAGTGTTTCTCCATTTCTACTTAGTCAAATAAGAGAGGACAGGAACTTAGAGAAATACTACAGTCCCGTTGCGGAACCATTCTGTCAGAATTTGTAATCGTTAGATCATCTTGTAACCGTCAGGCATCAGCCGCGCGGAACGCGGCTGCTGGAGCGATTTTTGACCCGATTTCACTCAAATCTCATCCACACCTCCCGGAACTTTCTCGATAAAAAATTTAGCCCGGCACTAACACATAGTTGATCTAACGGTTACAAACTTTAACAGAATAGTTCCGTAATGGGACCGTAGCATATTCTCATAAACTTAATAATAATAAAACCAGTAAATTGACAGTAATGCAGCCATTGCAATTTACTAAAAACCTCTGTCCCTCACCTTTGAATATGGGCTCATTTCATCTCAGTTTAGAGATCACACACCGCCATGAAGACAAGGAGAAAGTCTTCCGACGATAATCTGCGGATGTTTTTCGACTCATCGAAGCTCTGATTTTTCTCATTCTCATTCTCTCTCTCTCTCTCTCTCTCTCTCTCTCTCTCTCTCTCTCTCTT